GTTCCCACGTGTGATGAGAATATCCATGTCGATGATCTGACACGTCTAGCAGAGGTTGTCCTGGCAGGGTGTTGTGGTTGATGTTGTCCTGAAGACTGGGTAGTTTGCTGCGAACAATAGTCTGTAAGGTTTGGCAGTTGTTTGAAGGCAAGAAATGGAGGCGCAGGGAAGATCTTGGTGTGATGCTCATCTTCATCAATGACCTATTGAAGGCTGCGAAGAACATGGCGTAGTTTCTCTGCTCTGGGGATGTACTGGACGACAAAGGGTGCTCTATTGGTTGTATCCTGTGTCTAATGAGGTTGTTGCGGTTTCTAGCTGTCACACCTTGGAACTGGCAATTGATGAGTTGAGCATTGTATCCCCTTCTTATGAGGGCGTCCTTCAAAACCTTTAAGACCAAACGCTATCCTCATCTGAACATCTCCCGCGTATTTGCAGGGCTTGTCCTTAGGCGATGGCTTCTTTATTATGTTTAGGGTTGAGCTAGAGAAGTGCAGCATTGTGAGGTTATCCACAGGCTTGTGGCAGACGATGGTACTGAGGTGTCTGACCTTGATGGAGATGCTTGTGTCCAAGAATAAGATGGATTCTGAACAGTAGTCCATGGTAAGTCTGATTGTGGGATGAAACTTGTTGATATCGCTGTGTAATTGTTACAGTGAAGAAAAAAAGGAAGAAAATGTCATCGATGTATCTGGTGTATAACATTGGTCGGAGGTCCTGCACAGCAAGCAAGTCTTAGTCGAACTTGTGCATGAAAATTTTGGCATATTGCAAATTTGGTCCCCATGTATTCCATGTGTCTGGATGAAGAACTGGTCGTTGAAGGTGAAGGCATTGTGGTCGAGGATGAAGCGGATGAGTTGTAGGATGGTGTATGGAAATTGGCAGATGTTGGCATTGAGTACTGACACTTCCGTACTGTTGGACGATAACCTGGTGTCATGTGCTTTCTGACTTTGTACATCCCAGTCCAACACGAACACCGCCGCATCATGGGTGTGCGTGGTTAAGTGGACGTGGTAAACATGTGCGGGACGGGGTTGGTGAAGTAGGTGTGGTCAGCGTGAGGGGGCGGGCTTGGTCAAGTGGGTGTGGTCACGCTTAAGTGGGCGTGATCAGTGTGAGGGGGCGGGCCGCTGTAGAACGATGGGGATTTGGATTTGGTAAATGTGAGAAAGGAGCACATGCTGTTAACGGGCAGCAATGTACGAATAAAAACGAAAATATTGAACCTGCCTGACGACGGTTACATCGAATGTCATTTAGTTCTGATGAAAAGACACGGACTCAAAACGCTAACTCAGCTTTCTCCCCACAGATGCTACCAGACTTGCTGATTCTCGCCAGTAATTTGTGATTTTATATCGAATATAAGTGTTTGACTACGATTCTTTATCGAAACCAGCCAGAAGTTCGCAGAATGGGAGGCGCCGTAAAAATGGTTTGGGGGCGGAGCGGAATGGGGCGGGGCCAATGCAAGGGGGCGGAGCCGGTAGAATGGGCGGAGCGAAATGTCAATGGGGTGGGGTCAGTGGAAGGGACGGGGCGGGATCTCGCGATGGGTTGGGGCCGGTTGAAGAGGCGGGGCGTGATCCCAATGGGGCGGGGTCGGAGAATGGCGTAAAGATACCCCGCCCCTTGTAGTGACGTCAAGTCATGCCCGTGGCCGGTCGATGAAAAAAAATCGCCAGTCGTCTCCCGTACTTCTGTCACGTGATTAATAATAACAACAAAAACCGTGAGGTGATTGCTGAGGAAACTAGAACAGAAAAAGGAGGGAGAGGAAGGTAAGGAACGGTCGGTGCATCGTCTCCCATAGCCCCTTCCCAGTCCAGCTGGCAGCTTGGGCCTACCCAATCAGGTATAACGGTGGGATAACGAAAGCCTAGCCCTCTTACCCCCTGTAACGGCTTATATCAACAGTGGTACCAGGTAATGGGGATCTGCACCGACTGAAGCTTTGAATTCTTGGCAACGGCTTCACCCTCTGGCTTGGGTTGGCGGCCAGCCGAGGGCTGACTAACCCGGCATCATTTGCTCTTCTCGGGCGACAAGTCATCCGACTTACCATCTTTAATCTTTGTCATCAAATCACCTCTTCTTCTTCCCTCTCGCTTCAAGCACCGACATACGTTCCGGGCTGCACGGTGCCGAGTTTAATCTTAAAGCCTTTCTTCCTCAAAATGCTCTGGAGGACCGGCCAAACAAACCGAAACCACTATCTGCTGGACTGCAAGTGTCCTTAATCTCACCTGTCTTTTCACGGTATCCAATTCTTCAGTCTATTCGCGGTGGGAGGGGATTGCACTGAATGATGAGTATTCCGAGGTCTGATCAGTACTGCATATAAACTTGGTTTAGTAGTTCAATATTTTAGCTCAGTAGTTAATAACTCAGTTTTTGGCCACGACGAATTGTCTATGCCCAACATCCCTCGAAAGTTACGCTATTGGTATAAATTGATAGGCTCCCTGAAAGAGTCTTTGGACTCGAAACGGTAACTGTTTTCCTCTTCGCCAGATGTGGCAGATCTGCTGAGTTTCTCCAACACTTTCTGCTTTAATTTGATAGTAGCTGACTCCTAAGGATCAATAGGGAGTGGTTCTGCTGGAGTTGTGACTTTAAAATAGGGGGCATGTGAAATAACTTTGGAAATGAAATGGGAGTTGATCGTGGGATTAATTTAATAGGGAAGAAAGTTGTAGGCTGCTGAAACATATTAGCTAGCCAAAATGTTTCCATTCTGGAAAACTGAAATAATATATGTTGTAAATCTTGCTAAGCTTCTGTGATCAACCTTTTACCACTTGACCTCTTGAGTCACTGGCTTGATAGCAAGTAATGTAGTTTTAGGTCTGCTAGAGCATATCATTTAATGTGCTTAAGCTCTAATTTGAATAAATTATCCATTATTACTGATGTAACGCATTGAACATTATATTTGGAGGCTTTAAGTAGAAAGCTAATGATTTGTCTGGTATTCTTCCAACAGTTTTGTTACCTATGTTTATTTTACAGAGATCATTTCAGCAGACAGTAAGAAAAGTTTGAAATCTCTTGGTCAATCTCTACATGACTCCTGTTCTTGGGACTGAGGGCAGTAGAGATTTCCTTACTGACCTAGTCATCCTCACTGAAAAGGATAAGACCTGGAATGGATGGGAATAGGTTCCCTTATGATACCACTGCCAGGAGGTTGTCTATTTTGAAACAAACTCCAGCCTCCTCCAGTCTTTGAGCAGTTAAGTGAATCTAAAAGCAAGGCCTACAAATCTTAAACACCCAACACTGAGAATACTCCCTGATTTCCTAAGGTGTACTACTTTTTCCTGTAAAACTAAAATAAAAGTATTATCAGCCACAGTACTGTGACAGTCGCCTAACAAATTGCATCAAGGGCTTTCTTTTTATAGATTTTCTGTTTTGTATTCTGCCTATTTAACAATTGGGACAGCTTCTTGTTTCTGATCCAATAAATATCAAGGATTAATGTCAAAGATTGGAACAGCTTTGAGTGTATTCTGGAACGCTGGGTTAGGTGAATTACTTTATTGAATGCACTTTGTTTAACATAAGCATGAGATCATAGTACAGATCTTTAGCAGTTGGAAATCCCCAGGTATTAATAGTGAAAGTACAGCACGAAAGACTGGCCTTGAATGTTGTCTTATGAAGTAATATTTATTTCTGTGTCTAGTACACAATTATACTTTTGAAAATAAAAATTGATCTAAAGAAAAAAAGATTGAGTTGTTTCATAGTAGAAAATTGAGTATTGCTTTTAAAAAGTCACATCCTGTTTAAGCTTTTTGTCTTGAATTTGTCAAGATGTTTCAAGAATACAAATTCAGGTGAAAAACCAACATGCTGTTTAAATTTTGGTCTTCCTGTTGAATTTGTCATCTTGAAATGTCCTGATGACTGCAAGAAACAAAGCCTTAATAAAATGTCTTTTTCAGCACTACTCAAATCTAAATACCTTTTATTTCTCTTTGAAAACTTTGGAAAATAAAAGCCAGAACTATAAATGATAGAGATGAGGCTTAGTGTTATCATAGACTAATAAATAAGGATGGAGAGTGTAGAAAGTGTAGTGCACATGAAAATATTAAGAGAAAGACAAATTAGTAGAACTTAAAAATATTGGACCTTCGGAAGAAAGTTGATGAACTGATGGCACAAATAGTGACAAATAGATACGACCTAGTGAGGAATACTGGAACATGGTTACAAGAAGTTCAGAACTGGGAGTTAAATGTCCAAGGGCACACAGTATTCCAAAAGGATAGACAAGAAGGAGCAGGAGGTGGAGTTGCTTTGTTGGTTAAGGATGACGTCAAGGGTGTATTAAGAAATGGTATCAGCACCAGGGACCAAAATGTTGAATCAGTCTGCGTGGAAATAAAAGCAAGGGAAGGAAATCCCTTGGTAGGAGTAATTTACAAGTCTGTGAACTTCACTTCTGAAGTAGTGCATAGTACAAACCAGAAAATAATGAGGGCATGTGAGAAGGTTATAACTATAATTGAGTGATTTGAACATGCATGCTGACTGGATTAATCAATCAACTTGGCAAGAGTAGCCTTGAAGAAACATACACTCTGAGGAATTGTTTCTTAGAGCAACATGTCGAGGAGCCAACCGGAGAAATGCCTACTTTAGATTTAGTGATAGCAAGAACTGCAGATGCTGGAGTCAGAGACAACACAGTGTGGAGCTGGAGGCACACAGCAGGCCATTTCTGAAGAAGGATCCTGACCCAAAACGTCAACTTTCCTGCTCCTCTGCTGCCTGGCCTGCTGTGTTCCTCCAGCTCCACATTGTGTTGACTTTAGATTTGGTGTTTTGTTACGAGGAAGGAATGTTAAATGGCCTTGTAGTTAAGGAATCCTCTTGGAAAGAGTGATTACAACTTGCTAGAGTTTCAAATTCCAATTGAAAAGAGTCGCATACAAGAGTTTTAGTATTGGGCAAAGGTAAAATTTATACAGGTCTGAGAAAGGAATTGGCCTGATTGGACTGGACAAAAACATGTTGGTGCGTTTGAGGATGAAAATGGTGAGGTAATAATGTGGAAACTCAAACGGCAGAGGCACTAAACCAATATTTTGTCTCTTTTTTTTTTATAGTGAAAGATAATTTCTTTGCAAAAACTACAGAGGAACTTGGTGAAATTACCCTAAGTAGGGAGGAGCTACTAAGTAAACTGAGATTAAAAGTAATAAGTCCCTGCGGCCTAATGGCCTACACCAAAGAGTTATTAGAGGACGCAGCAGCAATAGTAGATACAATAGTTGTGATATTCCAAAATTCGCTGGATTCTGGAAAGATACCTGCGGATTGGAAACATGCTAATGTGACAACGTTATTCAAAAAAGGAAATAGGCAAAAAAGTGAGAAACTATAGACCAGTTAGTTTGACATCCTAGATGGGAAGTTGCTGGTATCCATCATAAAGGAGGAAATAACTGAACACTTGGGGAAAAACAAAGCTCAATTCACCAATATCAGTGCAGTTTTGTGAAGGGCAAATCATGCTTGACAAACCTGCTGGAGTTCTTTTGATAACAGGGATCCAGTGGATGTGGTAGACATCCAGAAGGCATTTGACAAGGTGCTGCAAAAAAGACTGGTCCAGAGAATAGATCCCAGGGGGTTAAGCTGGAGTATTGGCTTGATAGAGGATTGGCTGACTGACACAGCAGAGGGTCAGGATAAGTGGGTCCTTCTCTGGAATGCAAACTGTAGCTGATGGGGTGATACAGGGTTCAGTTCTTGGACCTCCAACTACTTACAATTTATATAAATCTGCAAGCAGGGACAGAGTGTAACACAGTAAAATTTGCAGATTGTACTAAAATAGGTGGGAAAGCAGGCAGTGATGAGAGGAGTTTATAGATGGGTATTAATAGGCTAGGAGAATGGGTCAGAATCTGGCAGATGGAGGTTAATGTGGATAAGAGCAAGGTTATCCATTTTGGCCAGAAAAATAAATGGGTGAATTATTATTTAAATGGGAAGCAGATTCAAAATGCAGCAGTACAAAGGGATCTGGGTGTCTGTACGTGAATCACAAAGTGAGTATGCAATTTCAACATATAAAAAGAGAGGCAAATGGAAGCCTGCCATTTATTGCAAAAGGACTGGATTATAAAAGTGAAGAAGTGTTGTTACATTTATTTAAGGCATTTGTGAGACCACACTTGGAGTATTGTGTCCAGTTTTGATCTCCTTACTTGACTAAGGACTTAGTGGCACTAGAGACAGTTCAGAGGAGGTTCACCAGATTGATTCCAGGGATAAAAGAGCTTTTGTACAAGATGTGGTTGAATAGCTTGGACTTGCTGGAATTCAGAAGAACGAGGAGGGATCTGATTGAAGTGTTTAAAATGCTAAAGGGGATAGATAAGGTGGATGTTGAACAGATGTTCGCCCTTGTAGGACTGTCTTGAACAAGAGGTCGTTAGATATAGAGCGAGAGGAGGTAAGTTCAGAACTGAGATGCGTTTAGAGGGTTGTGGATCTGTGGAACTCACTGCCCCAGAGTGTAGTGGAGGCAGAATCAATCAACAGATTCAATAAAGAAATTAGTAACAAAGCTATGAAGAGCAGGCAGGGGAGTAGAGTTGAGGCTATGATAAGATCAGCTATGATCGTGTTAAATGGCAGATTGGGCTCAGAGCTGAACTGCCTACTCCCGTTCCTAATTTCTATGTTCCTAAAGTGAACTTTTGTGACCAACTGAAAATTCACTGAGCAACACAAACTACATTCACTTTGGCTAAGCATATTGCTGGCTAGGGCTCGTCCTCGTCCTCGTGATGTGGAGATGCCGGTGTTGGACTGGGGTGGACAAGGTCAGAAATCACACAACGTCAGGTTATGGTCCAACAGCTTTATTTGAAAACACAAGCTTTTGGATTCTTACTCCTTCTTCATATGTTAGTGAGAGAGGTAGTTTCAGGCACAGAATTTATAAGTAAAAGATCAAAGGTTTGCATTTCTGTGGAAACTTGATGTCTGTGTCGATATGCTCGATGTTCATGGAAATCCTCTCCACTTTGAGCTGGCAGTTGGTGGTGTTGATGATAGCCATGATGTGGAGGTGCTGGAATATAACTGATTTACATAGTACAGAGATTACCAAGTTCAGTTCCTGTTCTGTGCTAAGTAGTGGAACTTTACTCTGTTACCAGTGAAGATGACTTGTTACCTCCACTGGTAAGCCACTATATAGTCGTATTTGCAGAAAGAGTACACATGTAAATCCTGATGTGAATGGGACCAGGCTCTATTGTGATATTTTGCATAAGTATCCTTGCATACATTTAGTGCTTGAGCTAATGAAGAATGGTGATATGCTACTGTGAACATGGTATGGCAGGCTGCATCAAGAGTTATATTCTGAAACCACTGCCTGTCTGTCATTTCCTTAGTGGTTAGACCCGTCAGTGAGAAACCTAATACTGACCACTGATAAGACAGTTTTTCATGAATACTGCACGTTGTCAGTATTAGCTTTCCATCTTGAGACAGTAATTTGTGTTATGGTGAATAGTGTTTAGAACATAGAACAATACAGGCCCTTCGGCCCACGATGTTGTGCTGACCTCTTATCCTACTAAGATCAATCTACCCTGCATACCCTACTTTTTACTATCCTTCATGTGCCTATCCAAGAGTCGCTTAAAAGTCTCTAAAGTATCTGACTCCACTACCACTGCCGCAGCGCATTCCACACGCCCACCGCTCTGTGTAAAGAACCTACCTTTGACATCTCCAATCACCTTAAAATTATGCCTCCTGGTAATAGTCATTTCTCATGGGAGAAAGTCTCTGCCTCTCATCCTTCTTCACTTCAATGAAAAAAGCCCTAGCTCCCTCAACGTTTCCTCACAAGACCTGCCCTCCAGGCCAGGCAGCATCCTGGTAAATCTCCTCTCCACCCTCTCTAAAGCTTCCACATCTTTCCTATAATGAGGTGACCAGAACTGAACACGATATTCCAAGTGTGGTCTAACCAGAGTTTTATAGAGCTGCAGCATAACCTCACGGCTCTTAAACTCAATTCCCCTGCCAATGAAAGCCAGCACACCATACACCTTCTTTACAACCCTATCAATTGGGTAGCAACTTTGAGGGATCTGTGGATGTGGACCCCAAGATCCCTCTGTTCCTCCACACTGCCAAGAATCCTGCCATTAGCCCTGTATTCTGCATTCAAATTCGACCTTCCAAAAT